TCATTAGAGGACGCCAATATTTTGTCGTAAAAACAGTTTACTGTGGGGTATAGAATTATCCGATTGCAAATCGCGTGCACCAAAGAGAGATCATCTCAAAACGCTTAGGCAACATTATGGGCTTAGGGCGGCTTGCAGAGCTGGGTGTGGAACGGAAGAGTGGGATCGGACCGACGTACCGCCCCACATCCCGAGTACGGAGAGCTGAGTCTGAGCAGCGCTCACCTGACCGGGTACCGGGTCACCAGCGCCGCCGGCAGCATGGGCTTTCAGGCCTAGCGGTTGGGATTGTGGTCCCCATTCTCTCTCCCGCCCCCTCTCCGCCCTCCCATATCTCGTGGAGAGCCGAGCGCTGCAACGAGCCGGGGAGCTGCACTCCGCGCCAAGCAGGCTACTCGCTCCGCCGTAATGGCAGGACATTCATCAATTACAAACCAGGACGAGGATGGAGAGTGCGGTGTACGCGGTCACGAGAAGGAAGAGCGGGTGTGGGGAGAGTGAGGGGTGCAGGGACACCGGAAGGGAACCTGGGGCCGTGCAGGGGAGCTCAAAGAGCAGACAATACATCTATTCGCTTTGTGCCATCGCAGCAGCTGGTCTCTTGTAATATCTCGGTCGCACGCGTGAATGCACACGGATGTCCACGACACGCACGTACGCTCAAAGACTCGCTTTTCCAAGTAAATCTTTAAGGCAAAAAGGCTTTATGAGCCCGCTGTAGGAAGAAGTGGCAATATGAAAAGCCAAAGTAATTACCACCAAATTCACTTTGGCGGGCTTCACCCCATCATGGGGCACAAAGTGCTGTTTAGTGTTTTCCGTTTACACAAAACACCGGATAAAACCTTTTGTTGCGGACCCGCGGCGCCGGCCGGCCCTGCGGTTTGGTGCAGCCGCCCAGATTTAATTTTGTTTGACCTGGTGGGACAGGTCTGGTGGTGGACGGAAAGGGATCGATAGAGCGGCCGCCGCAGCAGCCCGGCCGGCTGGGAGGTAATTAGTCACGTCAGAGGCGATCCATCATATTTTTTTTAAATATTATTATTTGTGTCTTTTATTTTTGTGTGTGTTTTTTTTTCGTTCGCGTCGCCGTCGTTCCAAGCGATAAACGCCGTGTCAAACGGGCGCGTGCGTGTGGCAATTAAAGTTGGGGACGCGAAAAAGTGTGCCGGCCTGAGCATTGTATATACGGGATGGCGTGGCAGGGGCGGGGCGAGGCGGGGCGGGAAGCGACGGGGCGGGGAGTGGCGGCGTGGTTGCGCCGCTTACGCAAGGGCGGAGGCGTGGAACAAAACCTCGATTTTTCATCCACGGACCTGATTACGGACCACACAAAATATCTGCCGTCATGCTGCCCTTCCCTTGATTTTTTTTTCTCCTGCCCTTCCTTTCTTTCATCATCACAAAATAATTTTTTCGCGGGACGACCGCCGGCTGCTGGAGAAAATATGCCCGCTCGCCGCGCGGCCTCCTCCCCGCTGCGTCCCCAGGACAGCCAGAGCCACCCTCAGCGGGGCGGCGAGGACGGGCTTGACACAAACTGTAGTCGGGGTGCTCCGGTTACCCGCTTGAGAGTCCGCGGGCCCCGGCGGGGGCGTGCGGCGGCGAGCCGAGCCGAGCGGTCCGGCAACTCGATCTCGCGGCCCAACGGCGCGACAATCACCCACCGGCAGAGGACGCGGCGAGGGCCTCGGCTGTCGCGCTCAGCACCGCCACGCCGCTGCCGCCGCCGCCGCCGCTGTTGCTGTTCGCGACAGCGCGCCGCTCTTTCACCCGAGGACAGCCGATTAGCTTCGTTTTCTCCGCGTGTCTCCTTCGCGAGCGACTCCCCGGCTCCCATTTTCCAATCGGTTGACGACGCCGTCGTAGACTTTACTTTTCTTTCCCTAACCGTCTTTTATTTTCCTTTGCCCTTTTTTTTAGAGAGGGGGGGGGGGAGGGGGTGCGTGTCCGGAATAAAGTGAAAAAGTTGTCGAGTTTTTGCGCTCCCCAACCATAGGGCAGGCGAGCCGTGCTGCGTGTCCGAGGAGGGGAGAAGGCGAGGGGCTGACGTGAGATATATGCCATGCGCCGCGAAAGAAGCACACAGCGACACAAAGAGCAATGAAGACAGCAAGGCGGAGGTAGAGAGAGAGGGGGGGGGCACCAGGAGACGCCAGACGAGAATGAAATAACGACAAGAGGAAAGGAGAAGAATGCAAGAGGATTGAGCAGCGGAGGGGGGCAGCGGGCCGTGCACAGGCCGTCGCTAACAAACCTTCAAGCGAGATTTCATTTTATGGCAGAGGAAACACAGCCACCGCTTGGGAGGTCGAGGAGTGCGGCGTGGAGGAGGGGCGCGGCGTGGTGGGTCCTGCGCCATCATTTTTGCCAGAGGACTTTAAGAAGCAGTAAAACCTGCCGCGTCACAAAACAACGGCCGGATCTCTTTTGATAGCCCCCGTGGTTTCGCGTTTCTGGTGAAGAATATAAGCTCACCATGGCAAGAGGTGTTGCGGCTGCGGCTCTATGGCAAATTCCCTGAACTACGCTGCAATCTTGTTTTGGTGGCGCCCAACGAATACATGAACCTTTTAGCAATGCTCTTTGTCACGGGCGGCACACGTGTCTCTCTCAGTGTTGTTTGGAGACCTTTCCTTATTTACAGGCAGCAGCGAGTCCGCCCTCGGCGCCACGCATGCTTATCGACACAGGGTGCCTTTGACCGGGGGGAGGAGGGAGCTTCCCGTGTGAGGGGCGGTGGGGGCAAGAATGCCATCCCAGAGCCCGGCGGGCCGAGCCGCCCGCCCGCCCGGCCCCGGCCCAAGCCCGGGTCCACCGGTCTGCTGCTGGCTCTCCGCCTCCCCCGCTGCCTCCCCCACCCCCTATTTCCACCTCAAACTTCTGGCAGCCCCAGAGATCTGGACGGATGCCAGGTGGGCACAGCAGGAGGCGGGGCGGGACACCTCAGGTGTAGGGGACCTTTGAAAAGTTATTGAGGGCTCCGCCCGCATTGCAGCACGGGTTGCCTGCCTACAGCACCTGCGAGCCGAGTGTGTTCTTCACACCGTTAAACTTTGTGTGGTTAATAGAAAACAGGCGTGCGCCATCCTTTCAATTCTCCGCACCTTGATTTCGAAGTAGATTTTTTTAAAAAGGGACAAGGAATATTTTAAGGAGTGAAATAGAAAAGGGTTTGCGTAAGAAGTTTTGGGGATCTGCATGACCTTTAACTGGAACAAAAACGGAAGTTAAGTACGCACATTTCTTTGTTTCCGGACAGCACGTGGTGCGAATGAAGTTTACAACACGGAAATGTTTATGTAAAATCACAGGTCTCACGCAATTTCCGACATTGAAGCCAATAAGTGATAAAACGTCTCGATTTTGTTTTATTTTGAATTGAAAACAACTTTTTTTCAAAACCCATGAGATGTACCTGGAAACTATTTTTGACAGTGCACGTCTCTCGGCGAGACGCAATTAATTGGCAAACGTCCGCCCTGGGCCCTGGGCATCGTGTGTGTGCGGATACGAGATGCCCATTCTCGCGTCACGAGACTCGTACCGCGTTGAGTAAGGTGGAGTAGAGCTGAGCTCATGAGTGCTTCCACCCGGCTCCCACCCTCTCCTTCTATGTCTCTCTCATTTCCTCTCACGCAAGCGTGCCCCTCGAGAACACGCGGCGCCGGCGCCGCTACACAAGTCGACTCGTACACCTATACTGCACTGCAACGTGGCGAGATCCTTCTCCAAGGAGGCAAGCACACCATAGCTATATGGAGAAAAATGCCTCCTCGGGCTCGCCTCGGCTCCGCCCCGGGTGCCCTGCGCTGCGCCGTGGTGCGAGAAATGGTGCCCCCGCCTTACAGCGTAAAAACAAACGGCCCACCAGTGCAGTAGTGGAGAGAGAGAGAGAGAGAGAGAGAGAGAGAGAGAGAGAGAGAGGAGGAATAAAGCATAACGACGAAACTTCCTCCCCTTGCGACTCACTTTGAATTCAATGGTGCGGGGACGTCATTCAGACCGGCAAAGGTTCCCCCGGTTCGAATACCCACAGCGGTCACAGTACAACTTCGCCTATATGTCCCCCTATAAACATGATGACACATGGCGTGGGACCATTCCGACAACCAACAGGACATCCCAATGCAGGAGAGAGGAGGGGGACGGGATAAAAAGAGAGGGAGAGAGAGGGGGGG